TTTTTTGAAATTTATACCAGAAAACGAAAGTTCTTGTAGCTTCTTAGCAAAATAGTTAAGAGAACTAAGGGAGTGAACGGGTCTAAATCATGAAAACGGTAAGTAGGTTCAATTGCAAGAAAGCGAAATAACAAAGTTTTAATTGAGGTCGACTTTGCGAAAACAAGCGATGCGGATAGAAAATATTTGACATTTGGAGGTGGGTCAGCATGTTAAAATCACAATTGGCACTAACCTCCTTCTTGCGAAGACGACTGAGACAGGCTGCCTGGCGATTCTTAATCATACGTTCCTGTTTCTTGATTATCTTATCGCAGGTTTCTTCGGAGACCTCTCGCAGAGCATGCATGGGAAGGGAGAGCTCATCGATGGTAATGAGGTCAGCGCCGAAGGGGTGGACGGAGTGCTGCCGTTGTTGCTGGTGGTGGTGGTTAACACGTGTAGGGTCGGAGAAAAGGGGAACAACGGAGAGAGTGGAGGGACGGCTGTCCCCATAGCTCTGTGCCCGAGCTGGAGTCGGCGCGAATGGAGTGACGCGTGTACCAGCCGGGGGGAACAAGGGTTGATGGGACATTACCTGGATAAAAAAATATAAAAGGCAGAAAAGTGAAGGAGGGCCTCTATCAAAAAAATTAGGTTGAGGATATAACTGATGTAGTAAAGCCCCGCACACAGAGCAACAGAATAAAGTGCGAAAATTTGAACGACTATGATGTGTGTTTTTATGTTACGCCGGATCTTGGGTCCGGAAGGCCTACTGCCACGGCAGAAAACGGCTGGAATCGGATCTGCTGCAGTTGTGGACATAGCAACTACGTTGGAGAAAGCAGGAAATCACCCCAAACAAGAATGGCTGAGCACGCAGCAGTGATGTGGAGACAAAACGCTAGCTTTCTAGTTTCAGCTTAGTTGACGAGGCCCGGCCGCAAGTTACTCGACTCATGAGCAAGCGCAATGACTTACTTTTTCCCTATTCTGTAATGAGACTTTGCCTTAGCAGGGAAAGCATTCACATGAGCAGGGTGCAGACCATCAACAATGTTGATGGCGGCGAGCAAAATTGCCACGTAACTATCACGCCAACATCCAACACGCAATTAACGACCCAGATGCGGACTGCCAAGCCATCATCGCATCGAACACGACACCCAGTGGTGATCACGGGGGCTGCTAATTGTAGTATGCATGTGGTCGTGTGGCTACTACTATGCCTTTACCACACTTTTCTGTGATTGTCACTGAGGATGGGCTCGAGCGAGAAACCGAAAAACGTCAGGCCAATAAAATGCTTCTTACAGCGACCGCATCTTCTCCTTCTGGAGCGCTTCCTGGAACTCGCCTGTTGACTTCTATCAGAAATATGTATTCTATACTGGTGCGATAGTTCGTCCGAAAAAACTAAACGAAAATGACACCTGGCACTCGCTCAAAGGGCACTTGTGAACCGGGGTACAGCAAGAGAGAAACTTGTGTAACACTTGACGCATCCTTAACGTTGCGAAACTGGATTAAGAAAATTGTAGACTGGTTTAGATTCAGTGTATAATCCATCGTAAAGTTGTAATGAACTTTCCCTTGCGTGGAAAAACGACGGTTGTGACCTCGTTAAAAGATAAGCAAAAAGGTGCAGATAGAGACAACAGGTACATTCTGAGCGACGAGACTTGCTATTTCATAACGCAAAGTTGCCTAAAAACCGAATTTACCAGACGCGATGCAGTTTAATGTGATCTGACAGATAAACCGTGTACAAGAACACTAACTGGCAATGAGGATGAACGATTATTTCTCCGTGGTAGATAGAACAGTTCGACTGAAGCTCTCGGCGATGTCCAGCACGAGCCGCAGAAAGCTGAAGCAACGCGGTGACTCTCGCGGGATTATAGCGAGAGTAGACTTGTGGAGAATCTACCCAGCTTTCTCATCCCTCCCACGCCGGGATCCGGTGTCAAGACAAAAGTTAAGAAGACCGGGGATAGGGGAGGGCGCAGGCGGCTGGTGCGACCAAAACTCCACGCCCGTACCAACAGCACACCTCACCAGGTAGGCTCCCGTCTGGGAGCGCCATAAAGGCCACATTGAGAAAATGTCATTGAGCCTGACTCTCAGCCCGCAGTAAGCTACCCCACACAACAAGATACATACTGGGTCGACCGCGGTGTCTAAGTTATCCTGTCAATTGGCAACTCTCTGAGCCACCGCTTTTAGCGCACCGCGATTGCTTCAGGCGTATCAGATTGTTTGCAGTGAGGAAATAAATGCGCTGAGGGTCGACCTCACTCTCTATCCCCCACCGTCAGCAAGAGACCACCGCCTAGCTGAACGGCCGCCTGAGGCGGGATGGGCGTGGTA